AGACCAGCCCCTGAGCCTAATCGGGCTTGGGAAGATATTTTACAGGTGACACCAGAGTATTTCGTAGAAGAGGAACTATATTTGCTTAGAAAGATAGGAAGGGGAGGCCACCAGGGTATGGACTAAACAAGGGGAAACAAAGTGCACTGCATAGAGATAAATAGGAATTCCAGGGTTGGGGTGGGATTGGAGGGGGTGTCTGAGCATGGGGGGAAGGGCAGAGGAGAAAGGAGAAGACAGGTGTGTGTGTGTATGTGTGTGAAGGGGGGAAGGGACGGAAGACTGCAGATGGCCATCCCCAGGTGGTGCAGGGTCAAAGAACTCTTAGGTGACACTGCTGTACGTGAGTAATATAATCAGATGATGAAGCAAATGGACGGTGGATGGCAGGAGCCAGGTTCTCTCTGGGAGGAGCGGCGGGGTTGGGGGGGGGGCAGGAGGCTAGAGGGATCCACGTGGCAACGGACTGGAGTTGGAGACATCAGGAGGAACGCATTCCGGGACTGGGGCAGGAAATATACAAGCTGAACCTGGAGCACTTGCAGTGCCAGAAAGTAAGGATGATGGACTGGATAATTAAATAATTGGGTATTTATGAATGGGTTTGATGAGGCAAGACTCCCTTAATGGAGAATCCCAGATAATGTATACAGATAGGACTCCCTCAAGGAGGGGGTGCATAACTTCCCGCTTCGCACGTGTAGGCTATGCAGAGCAGCTTTCCTGTAAGGAGGACAGGATAGGAAGGGGACAAACAATAGCTGTGCAGCGGAGGAACCTGACAAATATACCTTAGCCAAGCCAGCAAGGCCATCAGACAGTCAACAGATCATGTTGACAGGATGAAGTTGACGTGAAGGGACATAAATTCTATGTGAATGCAAGACGTCAATGACAGGGGAAAATGGGGGCCTGGGAAAGCTCTGTACTACTTTCTCAATTTTTCTGCAAGTCTATAGCTGTTATTATTATTATTTTTTTTGAAGTATAAAGCTGCTCAAAAAAATAAAGTGTATTTTTTTTAAAAAAGACTCATAAGAATGGGAATGTTAGATATGCAATTTCAAACTGTTCATTGGCTGGCATATTAAACCCTCCTGCATCCCCAAGCCTGACTGAAGGTCTAGTGCACTCACCCATGCCGGAGTGACGGTGGGGCGGGAAACAAAGACCTACCTCCCGTCTGTCCCTCTCCCAAGACCCGTGGCAGTCATGTCCTCTACAAAGGGACTCCAGGGCAGATACCAGGATCAGTGCCCAGCAGGAAACCAGCAGTGACCTGGGGCAGAACTGGCGTGGCATGGAGGAGAGCATCACGACACACAGCTCCAGGGTAAACCTGGACCCACTCTGCTTTCTCAAATACCTTAGCGGAAGATGTGTCGGCCAAGGTCTCCTCCGGAAAACTATTCTAAGTATTTCAAACAGAAGGAATGTATTACAGGAGATTGGTGACAATGCTGTTGGAAGGCTTAAGAAGACAAAGAAGAGGGATTTTGGAGGCATCAGGAAGAATGGAGTGATACCCAGAGATGAGAAGCAGTGAATGGCTGGGGCTGATCAGCCCTGGAATCACCTGGAAGAGAAGCCTTGATTCTCTGACAAGATGCTCTGGACTGCTGGGGTCTGGAATCACCCACCTTTGCTAGCAAATGGCTAATGCTAGCAACTTCCAGCAACCACTAGCAATGGCCACCCTTGGGAGCCAGAAGCAGAAGATGTGTCTTCCTGCCGGTCTTCCACCAGGACCTCCGAGGGGCAGATCCTGCCAGTGGCTGGACAATGCAGTGAGCGCACTCCCAGCCCCACAGAACAGAACAGAGACCCCAAGTACAGATGGAGGCTGAGGCGAACGGTAAGTAGCCAGCAAAGAAAGTGACCCTTGACCAGGACCTGACGGACTCCTTATTTGTACTAACCCTCAAGGCCTTCCAGAATCTTTCCCCTCCAACATTTGTATCTTCTCTTTTCAATCCCTGCCCCTCCAGCCGACCAAACATCCCCACTGTGTCCTCTGGGATCCTTTCCCTCCCCAGCGCCCCTGTCCTTGCTATTTCCTGAGCAAGACCGCTGCTCAAGGTGCATGAGTAAAAATCTTACCTGAGCTTTCAAATTCTGCTCATGCTGCTCCTATTCTGCCAAACTTCCTCTCCCTGCTCTTCCTGGACGCAGAGGTGTGCTGGTTAAAAGGGAAAAAAAAAAAAAAAGGAGAAAGAAGTAGTAGCCCTGAATTATAGCCACTGCTCATTTCCATGGTATAAACACTCGCGCTGGAGCTGTTGCTACCCAACTTGGGTGAGCATGTACCCGCGGACCGGGTGCCCCATACTCCCAAGGGGCAGTGTGTCTGTCTGGTGAAATTCCTTCACCATCCACGGAGCCTGTCCCACAGCACTCACCACTTGCTACCAGGAATTACAGTTGTTTCTGCGCTTGTCTTCACTCTCCCGCCAAAAAACATCCTGGCCTAGGGGAAAGGCATGGGCTAAAACCCCATTCCCAGGCTCCCAGCTACTGCCTAAACTCTCGGGGCTTCCGTCCCTCCTCTATTAAACTCAGCCACAGCAACAGCACCCCTATACCACAGGGCTGTTATAGGACTTACAAGAGCCCACATGTCAAAGCACCTGGCGTAACAGTCTCTGGCCTGTGATAGAGGTGTAATGAATGTTGTTTCCTGCCCTTGTTAGGTTTTTAGCAATCCAGGACAGGAGCCGTATTATGATTTTGTTTTTAGTTACCCCTTGGAACTAGTAACTGCTCAAAAATATTCTTGTTAACATATCCATAGGAAGAATGAAGTCCTTGATAGCAAGGGCAAGGTGGGGGTGGGGACTTGAGCCTAGACTTGTTGGGGGAAATGGAGGTGGGCCGGTTGGAAAAAGACAAGGGGAAACAGAGAAGAGGGGCAGAGGGAATGACAGACCCAAGCCCACGGTTTCCCTGATGAGTTTGGAGGGCCTCTTCGGCACGTCCTTTCCCTTGTGTCTTTGCACTTCCACTGGGCACAATGTGTACTATCACCTACTCCCCAGTTCTGGCTTTGGTTGGGCTGGAAATCAGAGTCCCGGGCCACCAACAGCTTTCTTGGTGGTAATGATGGCAGCAGCAGCTGATGACATTTCCAAATACTTACTCTGGTGGGGCAGGAGAACGTGACAATGGTATACAGTGGCAGAAAAAATGCTCAACTAGGAATGTGATTCAGTTTTGTAGAGAAATAGCGTGTATTTCACAATGCGGCCCTGTTTGAATTGGTGGATACCTATCAACTAAACCCTGCCTACTAACCAAATATGCTTGAAATCTACTCACAGCTCCAATCTGATTTTCCCAGTAGGGCGAGTGTCAACAAAATCTTTTCTCACATCTCTGCTCCTCACCTTTAATCTAAAAATCACAGTATTCTAAAATCAGAGGAGCCCAGAGCCCTGCCTGCTCTAGGCGCTTCAGTGCAAAGTCATAGATGGAACCCAAACCCAGAATGTTAATGATAGGTAAACTAAGATTCACAGGCAAAAAGCGGTTTGTTCCAGGCTCACAGGTGGGCTCTAGAAACCCTGCCACTGTGGGAACCTAGGCTTCTGGCTCCCACAGTAGGGCTCTCTCTGCCTCCAAAGGAAGTAAAGGAAGTGTCACCCAGCAGCTTCCTTTGATACTTCAGACTGGGATCTGGGCTTCTTGAAAGTAGTCCACTCCATTTGTGGGCAGCATGACAGGATGGCTCTTCCCATGGCAAAACTGCTCAGCATGTTTCCTCCCATTCAGTGATTCTCAGCAAGTTACTGGGGGAGCCCAGGGATGAGGGGAAGGTTGTATTTGAATCACACAATCACAGCATTTGCTCTGTGTAGTTTCAAGGCTGTAACATATGACTGCTTTGATTTATTGCTAGTTGTTTATTATTCTTGGAGATTTCTAATAAAGCTAACACAAAGTATTTGATTTTGGCAAAACGGCCTGGCATTCCAAGGACGCTGCTGGCTCCTCTGATTTCTCCCTGTGGCTGAGTATCAGCACTTCTAGCTAGTAGCTCCCCAACATTTTCTGGGTCTCATCTGACTTGGCATCACAGGTCTGTCCGTACCATCTTTTCTTCTCTGTCAGGGCCAGCTTTCTGCAGCTCCAATGACGAACTTCTGGTATCTGTGTACCTTAGGACACATTTCCTTGTTTGTAGCTGGCATTCAATAAATGCTTATGGAATAAATACATTCAGCCACCACACACGTAATCTGTACACCACCGCAGTTCACCTCCCTAACTACTTGACTATATATACACTCAACAAAAAGCTTGGAATGAAACACACGTGCTGACACGTTCAGTGTTTTTCTAGAGGCAGAGACAAAGCGCGGTTTCATTCCTTCCTTTTCCTGGTTTATCCTTATACCACCAGCATTACGTTTTCATAATAATAACAAACTATTTTTAGAAGAAAGACATCCCAGTCCATCATAGCAGTGAAAAAAGCAACGCATCGGTTTGACTTTAGCACTGTTTAGAGGATTAATAATTTTCGCTGCCGCTATTGTTACTGAAGACAGCCCACAGAACTAGTCAACTTTCTGAAAGAGGCGTTCTAAGGACTTCAAAGACATGGCTAAATTTAGCATAAATATTTCTTTTCATCGCCACATATGACTGCCCACCGCTTGCCACCCGCTGGGCCGGCTTCGGAAACCCAGCGACCGCGAACCCACCCTCGGGTAGGGAACGCACCTCTTAGGTACAGAATCCCAGCTGCACCTCTGGGGAAAATATGCCGGCTCGCGCATGCGCCGCGCCCGCTCCGCCCAGCCCCGCCCCCGGCTCGCAGCCACATTCTTCGAAAACTGAGTTAGCAGCCGCAATTGCGCCTGCGGGGAGAGGGGCGGAGGGGCGGGGCGTTGGGAGGGCGAGGGAGGAGGCGGGGCGGAGGCGGAGTCGCGCGTGCGCGGTGGTGCCACCAGCAGGAAACCCGGCGCGCGGGGGCGGGACCACGCGGGCCGGGGGCAGGGGGCGGGGCTCTCCGGGGCCGCCGCCGCTGCCGCCGCCGCTGCCGCCGCTGCCGCCGCTGCCGCCGCCGTCCCAGCCGCCGCGCATTGTGCAGCAGGCGGCCCCCGCGCGGTAGGGCCCTGGACCCGCGCGGCTCCTGGGGATGGTGAGCAAGGCGCTCCTGCGCCTCGTGTCTGCCGTCAACCGTAGGAGGATGAAGCTGCTGCTGGGCATCGCGCTGCTCGCCTACGTAGCCTGTGAGTTCGCGCCGGGGCCGGCAGGGAGCCCCATTCATTCCCGGGCGCCGCGGTGGCGGGGCCGGGTGCCGGCGGGCTGCGTGCGGCCCCGGAGCGGCCCTGTTGTCCGGTCTCCCGTCGCGCACCGGGCGGGACCTGCGCTCCCTGCTTTCACCCCTTTTCGGGGGTTGCGGACCGGTCTCCCCCTTTCCGCTCTTGTGGCAAAGCAGCTGGCCAACTTGGGCGCAGACCCTCCAGCGCTTAGGCCCCGGCGCGGAGACCGGGCGGCCGGGCGGAGGGGTCCTTGCCCCGGGGCTCTGGGACAGCCGGGCCCCTGCGCGGCGAGACGCCTCCGGCCTCCGCCGACCTCGCGCGCGCGGCCTCAGCCCGCTGCCTCCGCACCCCCCCCGACGCGTGGGATTGCTGTCCACGTCGCCCCGGCAGCCGGTGAGGGTCCAGCCGGCGATTCCCGAGCGTGCCGCGCGAGGACACCCTGGGAACAGCCGCGGCCGTGCCGCCGTGTTGGTTAAGTAGGATAAAAATACTGTTGCCGTTGGCAGAGCCCTCGCTTCGACTGTTTGCTCCGCAGGAAAATTACTCAGCATTTAACTACTGGGGAGCCAAGTGTTGCTGGCCCCCGCCGGCCGGTGGCCGCGCCCAGATGTCCGGGTGCGCGGGGTCCCCGGGGCGCGGCGGGTCGGCCCCGTGGGGAGGCGCAGCGCAGGGAGACCCAGGGCGGCGCTTTGCTGTATACGGTGTGTACGGTTCTCGTCTCAGTCATGACTCCCAGCCTCTGCCTGAGACAGGGCAGGAGGGGCAGTTCGCAGGCAGGTGGTAGACCCTTGTCTTCTTAGAGGCGGAAACTGTCCTTTGCTTGCTTGCTTTTTTTTTTTTTTTTAAAGATCTACTGGATGGGAGTATATTTTAATTGTTGCTATTAATAGTTTACCAACTACCACAGTTGGACTAGAAATAGCTCCCAGTGTGAGCTCCGTTTGAATCCTAGCCACCAGACAGATAACACTCTTAAATCAAACAACCTGCTAACCGGTTTAGTTACCAAGATCTGATTCCAGAGGTGACAGGGGACTTGAGAAAGTGACTTCAATTGAGCTCTAGGAGGACGTGTGTTATTCAGACCCAGGCTGTCCAGCATAGCCCTGCTCTTCCAGGAGGTGGAGCAGAGAAAGCTCCAGCAGGGCTCTTAGATCCTAGACAGTTTGAAGCCGGGGATGGGAATTAGATGTGAGTAGTTTGAAAGGGAGAAAGCTACCCTTAAGTGTTTGTGGTCAATCTTGAGTAAGAAAGCTGACCAGGGGAAGGATCACTTAAAATTGCATAATTATTGTTATGAAATAATAATACCTAAATTTGCTGAGTGTTTACGTGTATGTGCAGGCATGAGTCTCATTGGCTTATTTAATTATCTCAACAATCTTAGGAAATACTATGGTTATTCCCATTTTAGAGGTGAGGAAATTAAGACCAAGAGAAATTAGTAACATTTATGGATGATTACACAGATGACAAACGATAGAGAGCCAAGTTTTGAACCCAAAAAGGCCAGGGATGTGGGGGTAGAACCCAGGTCTGCATCAGGCTCAGTGTTGATTATAGGACTTCTAAAGTTGGACAGAGGTGTTTAGAATTAATAAAAGGGGATCTAGGGAGCCATGGAAAGTTGTTCACCATCCATTGCACTGGGAAATCTTGCCAAGTCCTTACCATTGTCTGTGACCGTGGGTGCCAGGGGACACTGGGAAGTGCCATCTTGGCACTTAGAGCAGTAGTTCTCAAACTGGAGTGTGCATCAGAATCGCCTCGAGGGTTTTCAAAACACAGATTTTTGCCTCCCACCTCAAGTTGTTGATTGAGTAGGTCTGGGATGTGCATTTCTCATAGCTTCCCCTGGGAAGCTGTTGCTGTGGCCTGGGGACCACTGGTCTAGAAGGTAAAGTGGCCAAGAATTAGATAATCATCCCAATGAGGGTTAATTTACAAACTGGTATGAAGGAGAGGAATGCATGAGAACTTATGACAGGGACTCCTGAATTAGAGGAATCAGGGAGGGGCGCCTGGGTGGCTCAGTCATTAAGCGTCTGCCTTCGGCTCAGGTCATGATCCCAGGGTCCTGGGATTGAGCCCCGCATCAGGCTCCCTGCTCCTCGGGAAGCCTGCTTCACCCTCTCCCACTCCCCCCGCCTGTGTTCCCTCTCTCACTGTCTCTCTCTCTCTCTGTCAAGTAAAAAAAAATAGAGGAATCAGGGACATTTGTTTCCATGAGGAGTTGAGGCTCGAGCTAAGAATTGAAGGATGTATAGAATCAGGAGGCCTAGGAGGGAATGTGTTCCAGAAGGAACAGCATGTGCAGAGGTCCTGTGGCAGCCAAGAACAGGGAGTGCTACAGGAATGCAAAGAAGGGTAGTGTTCTGGGCGCCTGGGTGGCTCAGTCGGTTAAGCGACTGCCTTCGGCTCAGGTCATGATCCCGGGGTCCTGGGATCGAGTCCCGCGTCGGGCTCCCCGCTCTGCAGGGAGCCTGCTTCTCCCTCTCCCACTCCCCCTGCTTGTGTCCCCTCTCTCGCTGTGTCTCTCTATCAAATAAATAATAAAAATAAAATCTTTAAAGAAGGGTAGTGTTCTTGGAGCGTGAAAACAAGGTACAGTGATGAGGCTGGTCAGCAGACAGGGGCCAGAGTGGGCCAGCTTGGGAGAGGCCTTGGGTCAGCTTATAAAATCTGTGATTTTAGTTTTGAGGGGCTCAAGAATAGGGTGGATCAGTGTTGCTAATGAGCAGGGATGGTATGCCTGAGACAGTGCGGAGGGGTGGGGGTGGGGTGCAGGGGGAACGTTACCGGGCTCCTGATTGGTAGTGTCCAAGGACACTGAAAATATAAGTCAACAGGGAGCCCATTGACAATCTTGCCCTTCCTGTTAGGAGTGAAATCTCTTTGAAAAAACTGTCCACACTCCCACTTAACACACACCCTCAGTCCCAGTTCTGGAAGTGCACTGCCTGTTTCTCTCTCAAGTTCTGCTAGTCTTTCTCCTTCCACTTGGATCTTTCTCAACAGTTTTTTTTTTTTTTTCTTTTTTTGCCTACTTGGGCCAGAGTCTCCCTTCCTCCTCTCAGTGAACATTCTGGACCATGCTTAGGGGAGTGAGACCGTGCCACCTTGCACTGCACACGCCTGTGTTTTCTTCTCAATAAAATTCCCGATCCTTGAGGACAGGGATTGTCTCTTAAGTGTTTCAGCCCTGGTAGCACTTGGATCAGTGCTATTAGCTCTTTGGAAGAGCTCAGAGGTCTGATTGAAAATCATGCCTACTTACTAGGCAGAGGCTCCCCAGGCAGAGGCTCAGCTGGAATTACCTTTCGTGTTTTTTTAACATGCAAATAGTTTGAAAAGTCAATAGCCTCTGCAGGGTTTGTTAGGCAAAACAGAGTCCCTTCCTCTATTTTCCCCCACCCAGAGGCAAGCCCTTAACTTCTGTTCGCTGATTTTGATATTTGTCTTTGTGCCATAGAATGATATGCTTGCTGATTTGTCATTTGTAGGTATTACCTAGTGACTTTATTCTTTGGAAGATGATTGTTTATTCTCTTAACCTGCCCTACCCGCCCCCCCCCCCCGCCCCACCATGTTCACCATCGCCAGTGTAGATGTGGTGTAATTTTGAGATAAACATTTAGAATACGTGTGTTTGACTAAATGCTGTTCTGATTGCTAGTGAGGAATGCTGTGCGTGACTTTTTGTTTTCCCTGGAGCTAATCATTGACTTTTCTTTTCTTTCTTTCTTTTTTTTAAAATTTTCTATGTACTATTTCTGATTCAGCTCCAAATGCTTTGTCAGTTGTTTGCGTCTTTCCCCAAGATGTTCAGGAGCAGCAGGACCTTTTGACGGGTTGCCTTCCTGAAGAAGGGCCCCCAGAGCCTTCAGACCTGCCCTGCCCATCACAGACGCACTGTCCCCTGACTTCCCCATGCTTATTTCACACTTCTTTCACTTGGACGTGCATTGAAGGAGAATCTTGAGACCATCTAAGTGTCTTTCTTCACCTTTACTTGATAGATTGATAATGTTGAATTCTAGAAAAAGATTCCTTCAGAACTTTTCAGGAATTGTTCCTTTACTTTCTGGTTTCTAGTGTTGACAAGTTGTTTCAACAAGTTGTTCCGTCCCTTTCCATGGGACTTGTGTTTTCCTTCTGGAAGATTGCAGGATCTTCTTTTGGCCCATGATAGTCATCGTTGACCACCTCTTTCCAGCTTTCTGTCCCCTGGCCTTTTCCTTACTCCCAGACCCGGGCAGCCTCCTGCAGTCACCGTGCCCAGGAGTGGAGGCGGGGACCCTGCTTCACTTTGGGGCCCAGTGAGTAGTCATGAACGTTTCCTCCCCTCTGGCTTGATAACCGGCATCATTCAAGGTGATGGTGCTCAGTGCACAGCCCCCCAACTCCCTTAGAGTGACATAAACTTGAAGAATGCATCTTTGTTTTTAAGCGTCCTAGGGTCTGGGTCTGCTCGTTGCTGCAGCTCAGCAGAGCCTGCCCTGACCCACCTGTCCCCTGTGGTCTGAGGTGCATGAGGCCCGCCTTGCATGCCTCTGTGCCGTGTGTGCTGGGTACTGCAGAGCCCCCTGGTAATCCAGAAACTCTTCCATTTCAGTTCTGGGGATTTTCTTAAATTATTCTTTGGTTGTTTCCTTTCCTTTGTTCTGTGTTTTTTCTCTCTGGAATATTATTATGCTGATGTAGTATTGCCTACTCTAGTCCTTTTATTTCCTGTTTTCCCCCCATTTTAAAAGTTTTGCTCTACTTTTTGGAAACTTCCGCTTTGTATTTTAACGCTTCTAGTGATTTTTAAAAATTTTTAGTTTTGCTATTGTTTTTCCATTTATAGGAGTTCTTTTTTTCTCTGGATTAAAAAAAAAAAACTAAAATGTGGTCTTCATTTCATGGTTGTATTCTCTTCTTGGAAATTTTGTTTGCTCTTTCTCACTAAAGAGTCTCTTCCCTCC